CCACTTCTGATCCAGCTCCCTGCTAATGGACCTGGGAAAGCAGTGGAAGATGGCCCAAGGGCATGGGGCCCTGCACCCTTGTGGGAGACTTGAATGAAGTCCCTAGCTCCTGACTTCAGCCTGGCCCAGCCTTGGCTGTTGCAGCCATTTGGGGACTGAACCAAAGATCTCTCTCTTTGTCTTTTCCCCCTCTCTCTGTAATTCTGACTTTCATGTAAATAAATAAATCTCTTTTTTTAAAAGATAAGTTTATTTTGGTGCAAATTTGAAATCTGTGCATTTTTTATAATACCCATTTTTATGACTTTTTGAAATCTCTCATATGCATGGATTCAAAATTTTATTTGCACCCAAAAGCTTATCTTTTGTTTCCATTTTTCCATGAACATTTTCAAATACTCTTGTACTTTTATTTTCCTTTTGTATTGGCTTATTTTACTCAATATTATGTTACTGAGATTTGTCTTTATTATTACATGTAATTACTTGTGTGGCTTTGTAGAATTCTACTGTATGCATTTGCCAATGTATTTATCATTTTACTACCAAAGGATAATTGAGTTTAATCAAAAAGTTTGATTCTGGGTCTGGTGGTTCACACAATGGCTAAAGTACTTGGGTCCCTACTCCCAGTGTGGGAGATTTGAATTGAGTTCCCAGATCCTGGCTTTGGCCTAGTGGTTAAGATACCACCTGGGAAACCTGCATCCTATATTGGAGTGCCTGGATTCAAGTCTTGTCTCTGCTCCTGATTCCAGCTTCTTACTGATGTGTATCTTGGGAGGTAGCAGATGATGGCTCAAGTAAGTGGGTGAGAGAACTGGATTGAGTTCCCAGTTCCTGGCTTTAGCCATGGCCTACCACCAGTCATTGTAGGCATTTGGGGAGTTAAACAATGGACGGGTGATCTCTTTGTCTCTCACTCTCTTTGTCTTCGCTGCCTCTAAAATAGACTAAATAAATTAAATTTTTTAGATTAAAAAAAAGTTGAACTTGAGAAAAGATTTATTCCTACTTGATTTTTCTACAAAACCTTATCAGAAATTTCCCTGCCACATTTTCTCTGACCTGGGTTTGATTCTTCTATGGGTCTTGTTTTATTATTTTATTTTCTGGTCCCTATGTGTAAGAGACCTTTTTTTACCTTTTTTTTTTTTTTTAATTTTAGCTTGCTGTTGTTGCTCAAGACTTAGACTAATGTAATTTCATTGCTTTGGAGTAATAATGGTGGTATGAGGCAATCAGTCCTGAGCAAAAGATCATCATGTGACCAGGAGTTATAGCTTCATTGGGCCAAATGTCACACACTGATACAAGTCAAAAGAATGCTTCAAGAGCAAACTTTGTGGCAGGAAATGTTGCTCATATGTTACATCATAATCACAATCATAATCATAACATACTTATTTACTCTAAGTAAATATTTGACAATATTCCATTCAATGAGTTCTAAGATCTCATATACCAAAATACATCTTCTCTTAAAAAAAAAAAAAAAACCTGAAAATGGAGTAGGCATTATACCACCTCTTGCTTCCATTCCATAAGAGTGCCCGGGTTCGATTTACTGCCCCATTTCCAATCCAGCTATCTTTTAATGCTTACCCTGGGAGGCATGTTTGAAGTACCTGGGTCCCTGCCACCAGCAAATATCTGGATGGAATTGTTTAGGTTCCTGGCTTTGGCCTGACATAATCCTGGCTGCTACAGACTTCTGGGGGAGTGAACCAGTGGGTGGAAAATCTTTCTCTCTTTCCCTCTCTCTTTCTCTGCATTTCTTTCTTTCTTTCTTTCTTTCTTTCTTTCTTTCTTTCTTTCTTTCTTTCTTTCTTTCTTTCTTTTTTTTTAGATTTATTTATTTATTTGAAAGTCAGAGTTACACAGAGAGAGGAGAGGCAGAGAGAGAGAGAGAGGTCTCCATCCAGTGGTTTTCTCCCCAATTGGCCACAACGGCCAGAGCTGCACTGATCTGAAACCAGGAGCCAGGAGCTTCTTCTGGGTCTCCCAAGTGGGTGCAGGGGTCCAAGGATGTGGGCCATCTTCTACTGCTTTCCCAGGCCATAGCAGAGAGCTGGATCAGAAGTAGAGCAGCTGGGTCTTGAACTAGCGCCCATATGGGATGCCGGCACTTCAGGCCAGGGCATTAATCCACTGCGCCACAGTGCCGTCCCCTACATTTCAAATAAATAAAAATAAACAAAACAGATCAATTTCTGAAAATGTCATTAGAATATGAGTGAAAACTGAATATTAAGAGTGTTCACAATTCCAGTTTTTCTACAAATAAGTGTTTAATGTTGTCTTTTTCAGTCCTTTGCTTCAGTGGTGAACCCTCTAAACTTCCTCACCTTACACTTGTGTGTTTATGTGTTAATATGACAGACACCGTGGAGAACAAATTGGATGAACACTCTGGAGGATAGAAGTCCAGGTAGACAGAGAGTCTAGAGGTTCAAAAATGAGGAAATAAGTTTTATACCAAATGAGGATTAAATAAGAAGTCATAGAAGGCACAATAATAAAAATGATAGGGACTGGAAACCTCTGCCTATGGCGCCGGCATCCCAAATGGGTGCCGGTTTGTGTCCTGGCTGCTTCACTCCCAATCCAGCTCTCTGCTGATGGCCTAGGAAGACAGTGGAAGATGGCCCAAGTGCATGGGAGTCTGCACCCAGGAGGGAGACCCAGGAGCTTCTGGTTCCTGGCTTCAGACCGGCCCAGCTGCGGCCACTGCAGCCATTTGGAGAGCGGATAGAACACCACCCCCATCCTGTCTGTAGCTCTGCCTCTCAAATAAATAAATCTTAAAAAAAAAAATGATAGTATTCTGGCATATCTGCCTACGCTGTACTACGTGAGCCTATGAATATTTGGTCTGTTAAATGGGGATAATGATAGTGTCTGCCTTACAGTGTTGTAAGGACTAAATAAGAACATGAAGGTAAATCAAGCACCTTGTGTTTAATAGCTGCCCAATAAATGACAGCAGTTAGGCTCTCCTGACACAGACTCCCAGTCCACAGAATTTGTTGGGGAAGAATGTCCCGGCCTTCTGAAGGAATTTTGAGTATGCAGATAGGGTGGAAGTTGATAGGCCTGTTGGTACCTTCGAGAAAGGGAGGGAAGATATAGGAGAAGGAGTGCCCCACCCTCTTCCAGACAGAGAGTTCCATAATAATCTGTGGTGGCCCAGGTGCTGCAGTGGGAAGTAGAGCCACATTTGTTCTTCCAGCCTGAGATGTTCCCTGCTTGAATTTAGTCTGCCAGCTCTAGGCCTGGCCCAATGGGATTCCTTCTTTCTCCCCAAATGCCAGGGTATGCAGAGTTCTTTTTTTTTTTTGGGGGGGGGGGGGGGGGTTGTAGGGGCTTCTCTGTCCCCAGCACAAAAAGCTCCCCTAACTGGATGTGGATGAAATCGTCTCAGGTAGGATTGCTGGTATTAGAGTTCTTGTAGCTATTTAAACATTAAGGCATGGGATGGGTGGTTGCCTATCAATTGATACCTGTTTCCCATATCAGAGTGCCTAGGTTTGATACTTGTCTCTTGCTCCTGATTCCTGCTAATATGGACCCTGGGAGGCAGTGGTAAAAGTTCAAGTGGTGTTCCTGTCACCTACATGGAGACCTGGATTGACTTTGCACTACTGGCCCCAGCCCAGCTAAGCCTGGTCGTTGTTGGTATTTAGTGAGTAAACCTGTGGATATGAGATCTGTCTGTTCTTTCTCTGCAATTAAAAAAAATAAAGCATGAAAACAAATTTGAATTTACCATATACAAGGAACACAGGTTTCAGACATTTCTTTTCTTACTATTTATGTCTAATTTTCTTATAACACTACAAGTATGGCTATGATTAATTGACTCTGGTTTAGTTGAATATGCACCATGATCATCTGTTGATGTGTATTTAATATGCTATAATGATAGATACCTTATAATGCTGGTAATGAAATAAAAACAGATACTGATATTGTTACTGAAAACAATTAATCTTGGGCTTTGCCATATTATGGAGATAGTACAAAGAGGGTACTTCAGAATGTTCATGGAAAATGGATAAAAGATAAGTTAACTTTGATGCAAAAATTTGCCAAAATCCATACATACATGGGATGTTCAAAAAGTTCATGAAAATTGTATATTATGATGAATGAATTTCAACATTTTTTGCACCAGAATAAAATTATTTTTAATTCAACTTTCCAGAGTTTTTGAAGCATTCTTATATAATTTCAGAATGATTACAGGACCCCTGGTCTCCTTAAAATCTAGGTTAAGAACTATAGTTCTGGAGGTTTTAATTATTTTTTCACATGATTGTTGGCACCCACCTTTTGGGCAATGGAATAATTATGGCAAATAATTATTCAGTACTTAGCAATATGCACATTAATATAATGACAAACAATGAAGGTGATGTAAAGTACATGTGTATGTGTATGTGTGTGTTAGGGCGGACAGCATTTTTTGCCAAATTCCTAGCCAATTGTTGTAACCAACAAAAGAAAATAAAGGGCTGGTGGTCAAGCTGTAAAGTGCCTACCATTTTAGGTGCTGCCTAGAACATTGAAACTCATTCAGAATGCTTGTTTTATTTATTTATTTTTTTAAATATTTATTTTATTATTTATATGAAAGAATTACACAGAAAGAGGAGAGGCAGAGAGAGAGAGAGGTCTTCCATCCGCAAGTTCACTCCCCAATTGGCCACAACAGCTGGAGCTGTGCTGATCCGAAGCCAGGAGCCAGGAGCCTCCTCCGGGTCTCCCACACTGGTGCAGAGGCCCAAGGACTTGGGCCATCTTGTACTGCGGGACTAGAACGGCACCCATATGGGATGCAGGCACTGCGGTATAATGGCACATACCCACTATGCCACAGCACCGACCCCATAAATGCTTGTTTTATTTTAGAGACAGTAGCAATATAAGGGTGCAGAGGGAGATACTAGTTGAATTTATTTAGAATCGTTTACAGCACTGAAATAATTAAAACTTACCTTCTTTGGTGGTGGAGAGGGGTGAGATGGGGAGGAAGATACATTTGAATTCTTAAAATTAAGTTGGTAATTTCTGGAAAATACCCTAGAAAGGATGATAAGAACTCTTGAGTCATCATTCTATTTCTAAATCAGTAATATAAGTACTATCAGGAAAGTGAAGTTTATAGCATAATAAACACAACTGACTACTAGCTCTTAAGCTCTTTATACTGTTGTATTTGAAATCTAATTGGACTCTCCTAGGTCATATAGCAGGAAATGCACAATCTGCTTCACCCAGTTGGTGGAGTGGAACTCCACAGTATGGCCTAAGGGAGGCCATGCATTTACAATACTCCTGTCACCTCAGTCTCCTGTCTGGAAGACACAAGAAATTTATCTAAATAAATCTCAGCCAATGTCATGAGTGAAGTTTGATTTTATTTTCTTCTTCTTCTAGAAGCACTTTTTTGGGTTTGTTTTAAACTTGAGAGGTCAAAAGATAGAGAAAGAAAGAGACAGAGCTCTTACCCACTGCTTCACTTCCCAAATGTCTTTCACGGCTGGGGCTGGGTTGAGGCCCCAGCTGGGAGGTAACTCAATACAGATCTTCCATATGAGTGGCAGATGCCCAACTACTGGAACCATCCCTACTACCTCCTAGGGACTGCATTAACAGAAAGCTGCAGTCAGGACTAGAGTGGGTATTGAACCTAGACATTCATACGGGGTAACAGCATCTTTACCAGCGTCTTAGTCAGTAGACAAAATACCCACTCCAGAAGCTTTCATGGGGGACTGCTCATGTAATCATTGCCATTAATGACTACCATATAAAGATTGAGCCATAATCATTTGCTGAGTTTCTAGTGCCTGAGTTGTCTACACCTGTTTATTAGTTCTCCCTATTTTCCCACAGCCCTGGTCTCCAGAAATGTAAGAACAAACAGTTCAAAAGAGCACTGAAGTTTTTTGAAAGGAGCACAACTGAGAAGACAAATAAAGCTGAAGGAACACAGAGATTCTGCTCATGTTACTTACAAAGCTCTGGAATTCTAACAAAAAAGGTGGAAGTGAGAATCCATCTGTTATCATGGGGCGTACGAATGGGAAGTAAAAATAAAACATTTCAGAGCAATAGTTTAATAAAAAGAACTCCAAAGGGAGTTTACAGAGGTTCTAATACACTTGATTTAGAATAACCTCACCCTGAAGTCAATTCAGTGTGGTAAATGCCAGCTCACTGGGACAGAATGTGAGCATTCACAACACACATCAGAATTGATAAGGTCTCCTCAGTAGATCATCTGCAGCTGGAGAGCTCAGAGATAGCAAGGAGAGTGTTAATCATTATTCCGGCAATCAGAGTCACAAGTTCTTGCTACAAGTGAAGTCCCTTCTGAATTAAATGAAGTTAACAACTTCTACTCCATGCACACGTGACAGTTTCTCTCTTCCAGACTAAGCACATGGAAAGTTGTTTGGAAGTTGTTTTTACAGCACTATTTCCATTAGTCACTCTCACAAACGGGTTTATCTGATTGCTTGGTGGATGGAAACTTCAGGATAAAATGCAATGGCCAAAGGCTGAGTGAAGTTTGTCATGGCTGTGGTAATGAAGAGGGTAAGTGAATGGACTTTTTGTTGCTCTTGCTTATGTTTATTTTCTTTTATGCTCGATTTTATACACCATAAAATCCACAAGGCATAATCTTGCAATTATAGTTAACTATTTAGATTTGCTTGATAATTGTGGTTAAGTGATCATGGGCCAAAACCAAGAAATTAAAACATGCAATGAAGCATGCATGAAAAAATTGCTTCAGTTTCTTACTGAAAAGAACTTTTATTAGTTAAATAGCTTGTTTAGTTAATTGAACTGTTCCTGAAGTGTCTTTCTGCATTGATGCACAATTGGACTGTTCTGTAAATAGACTGAAGACAATGGTATGTGAATGAAAAAACATTAAAAATTTTGATTACTGTAAATAGCCAATCTGGAAACTGGATAAAACATTTGATGGCAGATTTTAAATGTCAAATATTCTGGTCCTGGTTCTCATCAAAATATTGTTGTATGACTGTTATGATCTAGCACAATGATTTTTTTCTAGTTTTTTAAAATCTATTTGAAATATACATGACAGCTTTATAAATGAAACCTGTATCAATATTTAAATTGCTTTTTGCCCTGGAAAGAAAAATCATCTTTGCATATAGTAGGTGGATTTTCATTAGAAAAGCACTCTTTTCTTGCCCATTTCAATTATAGTTGTACTTTATTTCAAGAAAAATACAGATTTCTGTTCTTTGAGGCCTAGAATAGTCCTAGGGACAGGAAGACTTTGTGGAAATACTACCGATTAGTTATTTTTTCTAACTCTGCATTTATATTAATGGGTTTTAGAAGATATTTTCTTTCTTTTTTTATTTATTTATTTGACAGATAGAGTTAGACAGTGAGAGAAAGAGACAGAAAGGTCTTCCTTCCGTTGGTTCACCCCCGAAATGGCCGACACGGCCAGCGCTGCGCCGATCCGAAGCCAGGAGCCAGGTGCTTCCTCCTGGTCTCCCATGCGGGTGCAGGGCCCAAGCACTTGGGCCATCCTCCACTGCCTTCCCAAGCCACAGCAGAGAGCTGGACTGGAAGAGGAGCAACCGGGACTAGAACCCGGCGCCCATATGGGATGCCGGCACTGCAAGCAGAGGATTAACCTAGTGTGCCATGGTGCGGGCCCCAAGAAGATATTTTCTAATAAATTGTATAAAATCTTATTAAGTACTCAATAAGTCAGTGATTAATCAAAAACTAAGTAGAAGACAGCATCTGAAAGGAATTTAACTCAGAGTTTTCTTGCTATGAATCAAACTGTTCCATTCTGGAGAACTTTAAGACTTTTCTGAGTGAGAAGTGGTAATGTTGATACGCATCTTATTTTTTTTTTTTTTTTTTAAAGGCAAAGTCACAGAGAGGCAGAGGCAGAGAGAGAGAGGGAGAGACAGAGAGAATCGGTCTTCCATCCGCTGGTTCATTCCCCAGATGGCAACAACAGCCAGGAACCGGGAGCTTCTTCCAGGTCAGGAGCTTCTTTCAGGTTTCCCACACAGGTGCAGGGACCCAAGCACTTGGGCCAGATTCTACTGGTTTTTCATACTATTGCTTCAAGTTATTTTGTAAAAAAAAGGAAATTATGATTAAAAAGATTTATTAAATCTTCAATAAGACCTCAACTAACAATTCCAGCAAAGATAAACTTTATATATATATAATTACTTTTTAAAAGATTTATTGTATTTATTTGAAAGACAGAGTTACAGAGAGAGGTAGAGACTGAGAGAGAGGTCTTCCATCCGCTGGTTCACTCCTCAGATGCCCCACTTTTTTTTTTTTTTTTTTTTTCCTAACTTGAATTGAATGACAGTAGAATCTTTTCAGGCAGGACTGGCGCTATATCTCAGTGGGTTAAAGCCTTGGCCTACAGTGCTGGCATTCTCATATGATGCCGGTTTAAGTCCCGGCTGCTCCACTTCCAATCTAGCTCTCTGCTATGGCCTGGAAAAACAAAAGAAACAAAAGAAGATGGTCCAAATCCTTGGGCCCCTGCACCCATGTGGGAGACTCGGAAGAAGCTTTTTTTTTTTATTTTTTTTTTTTTTATTTGACAGGTAGAGTTACAGATAGCAAGAGACAGAGACAGACAGAAAGGTCTTCCTTCCGTTTGTTCACTCCCCAAATGGCCGCCACGGCTGGCACTGCGCTGATCCGAAGCCAGGAGCCAGGAGCTTCTTCCTGGTCTCCCATGCGGGTGCAGGGGCCCAAGCACTTGGGCCATCCTCTACTGCCCTCCTGGGCCCCAACAGAGAGCTGGACTGGAAGAGGAGCAACCAGGACTAGAACCGGCGCCCATATGGGATGCTGGCACCATAGGCGGAGGATTAACCTAGTGCACCATGGCGCCAGCCCCTCTGTCTTTCAAATAAATAAAATAAATCTTTAAAAAAAAATAAAAGAATGTAATTGGTAGGGACTTTATTTACTGCAAAAAACCTCAGTATATATAGTGGTACCTGGCACATAATAGACAAACAATGAATGAATATTTATTTTATAATATTAAAAATTAAATATTAGCATGATTAGTGTGTGAGCAGATAAAATCTACCAAAAAAAAAAAAAAAAATCAAGGAGTGTGGGCAACTATTGTTGCCATCAAAGTCCCTGGAATCAAGTCCTGCCTCCTCTTCAGATCCACCTTCCAGCTAACATGCATGCTGGGGAAGCAGCTGATGGTGATCCAAGAATTTGGGTTTCTGCTCTCCACCTGGATGGATTTCCAGGCTTCTGGCTAGGGCATGGTTCAGCCCTGGCTGTTGTGGGCATTTGGAGAGTGAATCATCCAATGGAAGGTCTCCTTCCATCTCAGTCTCTGTTTCTGAATCAATCTCTCTCTCTCTCTCTCTCTCTCTCTCTCTCTCTCTGTCTCTCTCTCTCTCTCTCTTTCTGCCTTTCAAATTTCTTTTAAAAAGGAAACATTTAAAAAAGAGATAATCAGCGAGGATTTGTTATAGTTCTAATGGTACCTCAAAGTTCCTTGGATATAGTAGATTCTCCAAAAAAATATCTGCTGATGTAATTTAAGGGATGAAAAGAACAGAACTGGGCAATGGGAGCATATCTGTGGCCAGCTCTCCGTGTGCTAGGCATCACATTCCGCTCTCAGTGTACATATCTCATTTGATCTTCATAGTCAGGATTTTCCTTAAACAAAGAAAAATAATCTCCATTTACTGTGAGGAAATAGGGGTTCACCTGCCAAAAAGCTAACCAACTAGTAAAACAGGTCTGTTGGGCTCCAAATTACATACACTTCCACAACACCACCATTGTAACATCAGACATAGGTTTAAAAGTAAACTCAGATGTTGCTTGTAGCTACTGAGTTTAGCTGAAGAATGGCATCTGGACCAGGCATGAAGGCAGTCCTGAAAAATGCACAGAACTGGCATTGTCCAGAGCAGGAGGTGGCAAATTAGAGACTTTGGGCCAACTGCAGCCTACCGCCTATTTTGCAAACTCTGCTTTTGCAAACAGTGTTTTTGGAGTACAGACACATTAGTTTACCTTTTGTCGACAGCTACCTTTGCACTGTGATGGCAAAGCTGAATAGTTGGCAACAGACATCATGACGTATGATGATTAAAATATCTACTACCTAGCACTTTCCAGAAGAAATTTGTCAACTCATAACCTAGAGTTCACATTTTCACATGATCAGCCACTCTAAGAAGGAATGAGGTGGTCATTATCAACCCAGGACTGATGATAATGCCTGTGGCTGAATGTGTAGGTTCTCCTAATCACTCAGACATGCACCATTCAATCAGTAAACATTTACTGAACACCTACCATGTGCTGAGCAGTATAAGTTCAGTCTGCTGGGAAGAGAAAAGTTACTAAAAGGAATACACTAAAAATAGGATACTAAAACATAACTTCTCCTTCTGCCTCTAGGTTATGTAAGAGCAGGATTTGGTTCTCTTTTTTTCTTTTTCTTTTTTTTTTTTTTTAATCATTGTGGGCTCAGCCCCTAGTAGAGTGCCCAGTATGCTTTAGGGGACCACTCAGTGTTTAAAGAATACACTAATGTGGTGTATAGGATGCCAGTGATAGAGGTAACAGACTGTGATGAGATTAGGTCAAGTTATGAATCTGCAGAAATGGAAGCAATAAAAGTGAGGAAAGGCAGGAAGTGGGAAGTCAGCCAAAAGGGAGGGAGACACAGTAGGGATTCAGTGGACTCACCCTGAGACGGGTGTACCACTGTGAGGCTGGAGAAAAAGAACTATGATGGGAGATTTGATGTGAGATACAACGCAGGACATCTATGCAGTTCCTGACTAAAAAACTTCAGAAACTTCCTGTTGTCTAAAAGATGAAAATTGGCCGGCGCCGCGGCTCAATAGGCTAATCCTCCACCTAGCGGCGCTGGCACACCGGGTTCTAGTCCCGGTCGGGGCACCGGATTCTTTCCCAGTTGCCCCTCTTCCAGGCCAGCTCTCTGCTGTGGCCCAGGAAGGCAGTGGAGGATGGCCCAAGTGCTTGGGCCTTGCACCCCATGGGAGACCAGGAGAAGCACCTGGCTCCTGCCTTCGGATCAGCACGGTACACCGGCCGCGGTGCTCCAGCCGTGGCGGCCATTGGAGGGTGAACCAACGGCAAAAGGAAGAGCTTTCTCTCTGTCTCTCTCTCTCACTATCCACTCTGCCTGTCAAAAATAAAAAAATAAAAGATAAAAGTCATGGTTCCTTGGTGGAACTTTCAAATCCTTTATAGCTTGTTCTCTGCTGATTCAGTCTTCTTTCCCTTATGCTTTTTTTTTTTCTTAAGATTTATTTATTTGAAAAAGTTACAGGGAGAGAGAGAGAGAGAGAGAGAGAGAGAGAGAGAGGCTTCCATTCATTGGTTCACTCCCCAAATGGTCGCAATCACTGGAGCTGAGCCAATCCAAAGCCAGGAGTCAGGAGCTTCTTCCAGATCTCCCACATGGGTGCAGGGGCCAAAGGATTTGGGCCAGGTCCTACTGCTTTCCCAGACTCATTAGCAAGGAGCTGGATTGGAAGTGGAGCAGCAGGGACTTGAACCAGCTCTTCATATGGGATGCTGGCGCTGCAGGCCAGGGCTTTAAACTGTTGTGCCACAGGGCCAACCACACCTTCCAGTATTCTTAATCAACTCCCATCATCTAGTTTTATACTCCTTTTAAAAAGATTTATTTATTTGAAAGGCACAGTAACAGAGAAAGAGAGAGAGAGAGAGAATCTTCCATCTGCTGGTTCACTCCCTAGATGGCTGCAACCTCAAGGGCTGGACCAGTCCAAACACAGGAGCTACAAGCTTCTTCCAGGTCTCCCACATGGGAACAGGGGCCCAGGTACTTGGACCATCTTCCATTGCTTTCCTAGGCCATTAGCAGGGACAAAAACAGGTGCCCACATGGGATGCTGACATCACAGGTGATGGCTTAACCCACAATGCCACAATCCTCACCCCTAGTTTTATACTTCTGATTGTGCTTTATTCATACTGTGCTTTTTAAAAAGATGTGTCCTGGGACTGGCACAATGGCATAGTGGGTAAAGCTGCTACCTGCAGTGCCAGAATCCCATAAGGGTGCCGGTTTGAGTCCCAACTGCTCCTCTTCAGATCCAGCTCTCTTCTATGGCCTGGGAAAGCAGTAGAAGATGGCCCAAGTCCTTGGGCCCCTGCACCCATGTGGGAGACCTGGAAGAAGCGCCTGGCTCCTGGCTTTGGATTGGCACAGCTTTGGCCATTCTGACCATTTGGGGATTGAACCAGTGGATGGAAGAGCTCTCTCTTTGCCTCTACCTTGCTGTAATTCTGCCTTTCAAATAAATAAATAAGTCTCTCTTTTTTAAAGATTTTATTTATTTATTTGACAGGTAGAGTTATAGACAGTGAGAGAGAGAGAGACAGAGGGAAAGGTCTTTCTTCCTTTGGTTCACTTCCCAAATGGCCACCATGGCTGGCGCTGCGCCGATCCGAAGCCAGGAGCCAAGAGCTTCTTCCTGGTTTCCCATGTGGGTGCAGGGGCCCAAGCACCTGGGCCATCCTCCACTGCTCTCCCAGGCCACAGTAGAGAGCTGGACTGGAAGACAAGCAACTAGTATTAGAATCGGCACCTATATGGGATGCTGGCACTGCAGGTGGAGGATTAACCTAGTGTGCCATGGCGCCGGCCCCTAAATAAGTCTTAAAAAAAGTGATTCAGAAGTAAGTCAGAGAATACAAAATAGAGAAGATGCAAATAAGACAGGAAAAATAATTTATCTTTCTGTTAGAGATATTCTCAAAAAACTCTGCTTTTTAGGGCAAATATTTGAATTTATTTAAAAATTTAAGTTCAAGCTCATACATGGAGAAGTGAACAAGTCTGCTTTTTTTTTGTTTGCTTGATTTTTTATTTATTTATTTTTTTTGAGAGGTAGAGTGACAGAGAGAGGGAGAGACAGAAAGGTCTTCCATCCACTGGTTGACTCCCCAAATGGCCACAACAGCCAGGGCTGAGCTGATCTGAAGCCAGGAGCCAGAAGCTTCTTCTGAGTCTCCCACGTGGGTGCAGGGGTCCAAGCACTTGGGCCATCTTCCACTGCTTTCCCAGGACACAGCAGTGAGTTGGATCAGAAGAGGAGCAGCCGGGACTCCAACTGGAGCCCATAGGCCGGCTACCAAATCTACGTCTTAATTTAGGGTATTGACCATCACTGATTTGTCAAATCCCCTTCTTGTTTCAATTTATGTATCTGACTATTGTTTTTGTACTCTCCTTTTCTTTATTCCATATTGTCATTCCTTCTTACTCCAAGGCATTCATTCCACTGTGGTTAATATGTATCCTCTTTGTGTTTTTGTAAACTCTGTATTCTTCATTCCTTAGCATGCATTTTATTATTTATAAATATGGTAGCTAGTTATGGATCTTTTTGTTTGTTTGTTTGACAGGTAGAGTTATAGACAGTGAGAGAGAGAGACAGAGAGAAAGGTCTTCCTTCCATTGGTTCACTCACCAAATGGCCGCCTCAGCTGGTGCTGTGCTGATCTGAAGCCAGGAGCCAGGTGGCCCTTCCTGGTCTCCCATGTGGGTGCAGGGGCTCAAGCACCTGGGCCATCCTCCACTGCCCTCCCAGGTCATAGCAGAGAGCTGAACTGGAAGAGGAGCAACTGGGACTAGAACCGGTGCCCATATGGGATGCCAGTGCCATAGGTAGAAGATTAACCGAGTGAACCACGGCGCCGGCCCCACTAGTTTTGGATCTTAAGCGTTTCTTTTTTGACTAAGCATTAAAGTTTTAAAGATGACACATATTGGTGTGTACTACACATATTATTTCTGATTGCTACAAATTATAAATACTCCATGTGTGAATTTACCCATTTTGCGCATTTATACTTTCAGTGATATAAATCAATATTACCACTAACTCTTATGCTATAAGTTATGACTAACATCCTTATGCTGTTCCTTTATAGCTGTAGTTTAAGAATTTATTTGGGATATATATCCAAGAATGACAATGCTGGATCAATCACTAATCACATCCAGTAAATGTGACTAAAAGGCACTGATTTCTCTACTGAGTGCTAGCACTAGTTTATGTAATACACATATTCTTTCTCTGCTCTCCACACCCAAAGCCATTGGGCCTTTATAAGCGACAGCGCTATCAGCTCTCCAGATGTCTATTTTTAATAGTCTGAGTTAAAATTGATAATTTTTCATTGGTGCTACTCTGGTTACTAGTAAGTGTCAAATCGTGCTTAATGTTTCTTTTGGGTTTTTCTGTAAATTGCATGTTTGTACATATTCATTTTTCTAAAGAAATTCTTGTCCTTTTCTTGTTAACCTACAATTTCAATGTTTAGTGATGTCACTTTTGAACCCAAAAAAATTACTTTAATTTGTAAACTCAAGTAACTATATTAAAATATTATTTAATATTTCAGATTTTGAGAAGATGGTAATGGTCCTCCCAAATCCCTACATGTAAATTAGACAACAAAACTAGTAGCCCATGAACAATATTCATAATTAAACTATATAGACTTCCAATTTCTGACCTGTCATATAAGGAGATTGGAAGTCATCACTCCTAACACACCACCACCAACAACACAACAATGAAAGTTGAACAAACTGAAAGTCAACAACTCTTCTTGTGTACAGAAATGTCAAGGAAAAT